TGCCCTTTGTCACAGCAGGCACACCTAGCTGCACTCGACCTCCCCCCATCCCTCTCGGGGTCATGACAAGGAGAGGTCATGCGTCTTGCGAGCGTTGTGTGTTAAGGCAGATGGAAGGGGGCGGGGATGACCCTAGCCTTGGCGCCTGGCCCGCTCTACTTGGCTTTCGCTGGGCCTCGGTCATTCGGGCCTTTGTTAGCCATCGTGTTGTAGGCCGCACAGCCTATTGACTAATCGGTGCCTTGAGACACCCCGCGGTTGTAACCCCAACACTTTGAGAGTTAGCATCGAGCCCTACACAAATAGAAGTATTTGAAGGGTACTGCTGCTATGACTGATCCCTATGATGCAGACTCTGATGGGGATGATCCAGAAGTTGCAATCGTCGAATGGACATGGGGCAAGACTCCTATATCTTGTCCATGGGTGAAGGAAATAGAGAACACCTATGACTTTGATGTCAAGAAAGCCAACAGGATCTTTGACTTGCTGCTCGAAATAAAGCAGTTGAGATTACCTGCAAACCATGTGATCCCTTCGGCTAAAGAACTTAAAGGGAAGAAATACTACAAGTTCCACAATGCTACTAACCATAGTACCAATGAGTGCAGAATCTTCTGCTTTCACATTTAGAAAGCCATCGAGCAAGGAAAGATCAAGTTTGAGCCAGCTAAGAAACCGACAATGGACATAGATAAACATCCTTTCCTAGGGGTGCATATGGTAGAGTTTTAGTTGGGTAAAGGAAAGACGTGGGTCTTAAGGTCAGCTAAAGCTAGAGAAGATGGGTCGGTTGAACCCAGGGTTCAAATATTGGCTAATGAGTATGAAAAAGCTAAGAAACAACGCGATCAGCAAAAGAGCCGATATGAGCAAGGTGAGACGTCTAGAGCTAGTACTATGCGACCTCGTGTAACTTCTAGAATTTTATTGAACAAGTGGCAACGCCAGAAGGAGAAGGACCACCAGCGTCGGCTTAAACAAGAAGAATATGAGCATCGGTGCGAGGAAGAAAGGTATAAAAGAGAACAAGCCGAGTTACATTGGAATTGTCCTTTCTTCCGACACTTGTGGAACGAAGGTATGAAATTGCCTACAAGACATAACTGCCTAGAGTACAGTAATCAATATCAAGAGTTCAGGCAATCTCAAGCCAACCGCCGGTCCATCCATGGACATTTGAGTTTTCAATCTAACGACATGGATCGGCGTATAAAAAATAAAATAGTTCATGATCGGCTAGGTAAGTGTGCATATGATCAGAGTAGGGCCGGTCATGATGAAGAGAAAGAGTATGTTTGGTAGGAAGGCTAATGGTGTCTAGGAGGTCTAACAAGGAGCTAGAAAAGAAGAGTTCAACGCTTAAGGAGCAGAGAGTTGGAAGCTCAGAAGTATAGCAGACCTTGTACATGGCGCGTCAAACAAACAGCCGATAAGGGTAAGCCATTGGCTGATATTAATGTATTATTTGCTCTACCTGCGAAATCAAATGCCCCTTTGGAGTATGAATAAAGGGAACACAAACACCTCCGTAACGAAATTGTGAAAGAAGGCATCACCAAAATCGGTGATAGACATCAGCAGTCGATCTAAGCAGTCAGCTCTGAGGATGTTTCTTAATGGATTCCCTGATCGATGATACAGAAGGGAAGTTAGGTCAGAGATTTACGTCGGCCAATTTGCTAGAGGAAGTCGATATCGAACCTGGTGATAGACCTTGGCCGACGTATGTAAGTGCTAAATTGGATCCTGAATACAAGAAAGAATTGGTAAATCTTTTAAAAGAATGTCAAAATTGTTTTGCTTAGAAATATTACGAGATGCCTGGTCTTAGTCGATCGATTGTAGAACATTGGTACCTATTAAAGAAGGATATCGACCGTTTAAATAGAACCCGAGGAGATTTAAACCTGAATTACTTGAGGATATTAAGAAGGAAATTACAAGGTTATACGAGGCTAAATTTATTCGGCAGTGTCGATATGCGGATTGGATTTTGAATATAGTCCCCGTGCTCAAGAAGAACGGTGAACTAAGGATTTGCACTAACTATAGGGATCTGAAGAAAGCCACGCCGATGGACGGTTACCCAATGCCGATGGCTGATCTTTTATTAGATGCAACATCAAGGCATAAAGTTATCAGTTTCATGGATGGCAACACGGGCTATAATCAAATTTTCATGGCTAAAGAGGATGTTCCTAAAACTGCTTTTAGGTGCCCTTGAGCTCTTGGTTTATATGAGTCGGTGGTTATGACTTTCAGCCTAAAAAATGTCGGTGCAACTTATCAACAAGCCATAAATTATATCTTTCATAAATTGATCAGCAGGATAGTTGAGATTTACATCGATGATGTAGTTGTGAAATCCAAGAGTTACAAAGAACATTTGACTGACCTACGAGAAACTTTGGAATGCACAAGGAGGCACAGCTTGAAGATGAACCCAAGCAAGTGTGCTTTTGGAGTATCAGCTGGAGAGTTCCTAGGTTTCATGGTCCGTGATAGGGGATTGAAGTTGGGCAAAAGATCATGAAGGCCATTGATGAAGCAGTCCCACCGACAAACAAAACTTAGTTTCAATCTTTGATTGGCAAGATTAATTTTATTAGGAGATTTACCTCGAACTTATCAAAAAAGATGTTGCCATTCTCTCCCTTATTGAAGCTGAAAGCCGATGAAGAATTTAAGTTGGGCGATGTATAGCAGAAGGCATTTGATGAAATTAAGGAGTATATGAAGTCTCCACCTATGCTAGTCCCTCCATAGCGTGATAAGCCTTTTAAATTATACGTGTCGGCTGATAGGCATATAATTGGATTGGTCTTAATGCAAGAGCTTGAAGGGAAGAAACAAGTCATTTTGTATCTAAGCAAAAGGCTTTTGGATCTAGAGACAAGGTACTCCCTGGTGGAAAAATTGTGCTTATGCCTATACTTCTCGTGTACTAAATTACGGCATTATTAACTATCAGCCGAGTGTATTGTGGTATCTAAGGCTGATGTAATCAAGCGTATGTTGTCGATGCCGATTCTGAATGGGAGAGTAGGAAAGTGGATTCTGGCGCTGTCTAAGTTTGACTTGAGATACAAGTCGGCCAAAGCAGTTAAAGGACAAATAATGGTCGACTTCGTGACTCATCATTATGGACCCAGTATTGGTTATGTGGAGCCAATGCCTTGGACTTTATTCTTTGATGGCTCGTCGTGCAAACAAGGTGGTGGAATTGGCATTGGCATTATTTCGCCCCAAGGATCGAACTTCAAATTTGCATATACTATCAAGCCAATGACTATCAATAATCAAGCTAAATATGAAGCTATCCTCAAAGGACTTCAACTTGTTCAAGAAGTAAAGGCCGATGTAGTCGAGATCTTTGGAGATTCTCAGTTGGTAATTAATCAGTTGATCGGCCTATATGAGTGCAAAGATGATATCTTGAGGAGTTACTACGAGAAGTGTCGAGGTTTGATCGACGAACTCTCTCTGGTCATGATCAAGCATATCCTAAGGGCTCAAAATCAAGAAGCTAACCGGCTAGCTCAGAGCGCTTCTAGTTATCGACAAATTCAAGAGGTCTTCAGCAACGAGATTGTTGCCGACGATTGGAGGAAAGAAATAATGAACTATCTTAAGAATCCATCACAGAAGGTCTCTAGGAACCTCAGATACAAATTGATCAAATATGTACTACTGGATGAAGAACTATACTATAAAATGATTGATGGTGTATTGCTCAAATGCCTAAGTCAAGAAGATGCCAAAGTTCTCATGGGTGAAGTCCATGAAGGAGTTTGTGAAGCTCATCAATCGGCTCACAAGATGAAATGGATTATCAGAAGGTCAAGCTATTTTTGGCTGATAATGTTGGAAGATTGCTTTGAATATTACAGAGGATGCCAGGACAACCAACAATTCAGTAATGTTCAGAGGTCGCCAACATCAATTATGAATCCTATAATTAAGCCATAGCCGTCTAGAGGTTGGGGGATCGACATAATCGGCCAAATTCATCCATCATCTAGCAAAGGTCGTAAGTTCGTACACCACAAGGGCAAAGGGTTTTTGTGGCGAATTTTTTTTTATCACAAAGCCTCTTTTCTTCGCCATAAATCAGCCTTGGTGGTGATTTTTTTAATCGCCACTAGTCACCACAAATACTCGCCTCACAGATACTCTAGTGATGATTTTTTGTTCCCCACAAATAGTCATACTCATTAGTGACAAATTGTGCTTCCACTAGTAACGTGGCCATTTGTGGACCATTTGTTGTCACAAAAACATACGCATTAGTGGCAAAAAATCATGCCACTTATAATGTTTGTAGTGGTAATAATAGTTGACACAACTATACAGAATTTATGGCAATATAATTGTCACAATTACCATTGTAAAAGTGGCAAAATTAATGGTCACTAGAGACTACATATTAGTGACAGAAGTTTTGCCATTACATGAGTTTATCGTGTCAATGCTTGTTCTCACTATTTAACTATAATTGTGTCTAATGGTTTGCCACAATATGTGGTAACATGTTAACACAAATACTTTTCATTTGTGATGCAAACTCATCCTCACATGTAAGTTACAGTGGCAAACCTTTGTCACACAAAATTATCTTTTTGTGAGAATTGACAAGACAAATTGTATCAATAGTTTCATCACAAAAAAGCATAGCATTTGTAGGAAAATATTAGTTTAGACAAGTTTTGTCACAAGGTAAGTTTCAATTGTGTGAAACATATTAGTTGTTGTGGCCACCGAGTCATCATTATTATCCTTGTTATAGTGACAAAAAGAACTCAAACAGATGTACACTATAGCAATATGATCCTCTCAAATCTGCATGAATAATATTTATTTCAGTAATTTAAATTTGGCAATCAAGCAGTACACAAATTTGAGAACACTCACAACCCTCAAAATAACTATCTTGACACTACTTTAATGTCTCACAATAATTATTCGACTAAAGGGTTTAAACTCTAAGATGTTGGAGGCTACGAGGCACCAGAATGTATGCGTGCGATTAATTCAGCCATTTGATTATCAAGTTGTTCTCTCACTAGACGAGCAACTTCTCCACTATGTGCTTGACGCAAAGAAGTAAGCTCATCACGTTGGGATTGCTGCTCTTCTTGCAGGTGTGCATTTGTTTCGACCACCGTGGAAACTTGGCCTTCCAAAGCTTGTGCCTGTTGCTCAGCAGCCTCAGCACGTTGCTCAACAACATCTGCACGTGCTTGAGATGCAGCTTCATGCTGTTCAGAAGCCTCAATTTGCGCCTACAGTTTGATCCTTTCCTCAGCCACTTGGTTTATAGAACGAATGCCAACACCACATGAATGGTTTGGCTTTCGACCAAGAACTAGTGCGAAGTGCTCCACTATGGACACCGGCGTCGAAGAAATTTTTTCTTGATGTATCCTAGCAGCTTCCTGTAGCTTGGTCTGCAAAGCATGAAACAACAAACCAATTAAGAACCCATATACTAAGCAGCAGCCAAAAACGTTCATGTAATGAATCATAAGTATGAGCACAAATTAATTAGCTACAGGATAGTGTAATGCAAATGTTCTCAGAGTTGCTGGTGTAGAAAACAAAATCTGTAGACATGTTATCTAATAAATGAAAAATGCAGACAAATTAAATAATATGTGAAATTTACAAACAACTCATTAAAACAATATTGTTCATGATTAGAGATATTGCAAACACATCATAGTGCTTAGACTTTTCAACTCATTAAATGAACAATACATCAGAAACTATGTTGCAGAGATAATAACCATGAAAGAGTCATACAGAATTCTATTAGCATATTTTTCATACAAAACACATCACTTGCACCTAATCCTAGTTCAAAAGGTAGGATACAAATTGACATGTTCATACCATTATTTCTTCACCCGTTGGAATGGACCATGTCCCATCAGCCTTTTGATATGTAGCCCTCCAAACTTGTATAGCTGTAGGCCATTCACTAGTTTTTGGGTCTCGTTACGTTGGAATAAAAAGCATGTATTCACTAATTCAGAACAATTTGTAGCAAATAAAAAATCTGCCTGGTAACTTTTTTTCTCACCAGATCATAAGCGATTTGAGCAATTGATCTAGTTCCTACTTTGGACCCCATCTCTTGCTTTCCTCTATTGATAGAGTTTTGGTTCCTCCTTTTCTAGTTTATAAATTGCATAAATGTGTCATTTACAATAATGTAGCACTGTAATTTAGGACGAGTAGTATATACCTGAAAATCATCATCTGTCCACAAATTCCTTATCAACCATTGCCAACCTTCTGGTGAGACATGTTGTGGCCTTGGCTTCTTGTTATGGTAAGCTTGAAGTAGACGATAACGTCGATTATTGTATTGACTCTCTACTTGTCTCATCGCACAATCTTTATCTTCTTCTGAAAGCTCAGGAAACTTTTGTTGTACAACAATGATATGATGTAATAAGCAGCCATTGAATGCAATGATAACCTATGCATGCCAAATATATTTATTTCATATGAAAATTCACTTGGAGTGGTACAGTTCTTACAAGAACTGTTATCTCACATTTAAATAAACTAGCATGTTCTCCACACACTTTTGCAAATTCATTAGGGAACTTTATATCAATATTGTTTCCTTTTGCTCTTCTCTTGCGAAGTTGATCGTTGGTTGTAACTTTTCTACCACTCTTCTTAGCAGGGTCTAGTTAATATAGGGGGGAAACAACAATAATTAGATGTAATATTTCATATTTCTACTCTGTACTGTACATAAACAAATTCACATAGTATAACAGTTTCTAGTTACTTTGGTGGTTTTCTAAAATAACAGATCCTACTGAAAGTGAGCCTAGGCAATTTAGTGAAATGAACAATAGTGTACAGAAAGATTTTCATATTAGCTAAGCACCTTCAGTGTTGTGTGCTGCAGCATTTATTTGAATATTTTCATCCATGGCCTCATCTAAATCCAAATGATCACTTGTATTGTCAGCTCGAGAGGCACGTGGACGTAACCTGCTTGTTCTTTCCCCTGTAGGAGTAAACATTTTATAAAAGCAGGATTTTTATACCAACAAGAATACAAGCCACAAGTGTTCATAGTTGCTCCAGTTCATACGTATGAACAAGTCATGGTGCATTCAATTGTATGAGAACTAACAGGCTTTGGTTAGCTTACAGTGCAATTGGTGGAGACTAATGGAATCAGTATCAATATTAAGATATTGAGTTCATCATAACTAGAAGATACACCTTATTACCTTGGTATAAGATCATGTAAGTTTCCTAAGCATAATTGAAACATTGGACTATGTGACATGCTACAATACATCAAATTTTTTTATGCACAGAAATTATTTAGTGGAACTAAGTGTATGAATCCTATACCAGAGGTGATCAACTGCTCCCTTGGATCAGATAAAGCATAGGTCAACTCATCAAATTCTCTATCAATTTCAGCAACAGTTCGGCGAGTCACCCGTGGAGCCATGTCCCCTGTGGAATCAATGAAGATTTTGCCAAAAGAAATAATCTAAAAAATAATAATTTCATAAACATGAATGCCGGAGTGAGCAGAAGGCATGGATGCCCTAGCGCAGTAGTATGCAAGGGCTGGTGTCGAGGACAGGCATGGATGCAATGCATCTTGATGGATCAAAGGCCGGGGTGTCGGTGCATAGTAGTAGGCATCACATCTTCGCGGATGGGCAGAGGTGTGAGGAAAGCAGCGCGGAGATGGGGGCGACGGCGACGGCGACAGCGGCGGTGTGGATCAGGGCCATGATGATAGTTTGCAGCGGCATGGATCGGAAATTTGGGGCAGGTGACTCTCAGCAGCACGGAGATGCGCCGCAGAAGCGTGCCGTGAGGATGGTGAAGCACGGCCTTTGCGGCTCCTTTGACCAAGGAGTAATCATGGGAGGCTACTATTTGTTGCTAGATGGCGAAAGGTTAGATGGGGAAAAAAAAGAAAATACTAGAACTCACCTTGCGGACTTTACGGTTTCCTATTTCTCCTCTCACGGAATGGCTTGGCTTATTTCTTCGTAGATGAAAAGGACTCCTTGTTGCTGTATATATATGTTGACGTCCAATGCAATATGGCAGGAGTGAAAAAAAATTCACTGAGTAATTGGAGGGAAAGTAGCGTCATTGGTGAATGGATATTTGGAGGGAACAATTTTTACCAATTACAAGGAGGGAAAAGGTGCGCTCGGTGCAAAAAAAACAAGGCCATAATATTTCTACCGGTAGAATTTATAATATTTAATGGCCAATGTTATTTTCATATATGTGTTTATTGAAAAAAAGCTAATCATTTTAGGTAATGAATAAAATTCGGCTTCTAGCCTCTTCAAATAAGATGTGTCACTTGAAATCTTCCAACGGTATATTCTAAAAACAATGTTCTTTCAATGATATAGAACTAATTTAACATTAATATCCAATACAACAAATCAAAATATATTCATGGAAGGCGAAGACCTCCATGGACCTGGACTGCAAAAGTTGGCTAGAGTGTACTAAAGGGTCTATGAGTTCCTCGTAGCATTATAACAGAGCCAAAAACCGTAAACATATGGGTGCATTTGGTTTCTCAAGGAAACTTGACTCGCCTCACCTACACGAAATCCAAGAAACTCACCTAGCCGAGCAAGCCGAATGCGCTCTCGAGCTCTTTTCAAAGATTTTGCTTGCCAGCACAGCAACTCGCCGCTCAACCAAACGTCTGGCTCTCTTGCAATTCCTTGCCAAGTAAGGCGATGCAAGATACGGCCAAGGATCTAAACACACCCATTATCATGGGCCGGAGACAGGACTTATACATAGAGGGGTCAGCCAAAGATATTCAATACATGTGAACTGAGTGTAGCTCATCTGTTTAGGTTCTTGTGGTGGAACCTGGCACCCCATGTTAGTCATCGATGTACTTGATCCTATTTTCCTAAATTTATTCTAGTACAGCAACTCATTTGGACGAGTGTGCGTGTATGCTTGTAAGCATTTGCCGGCCCCCCCTTAGCATGGACCATACGAATTCAAATGTTCTTGAATACGAATACAAATGGATGGTTCTAATTTGAACCATATTAGGAATGTACTTGATCAATATATAAAATCATAAATAAGTAATTATTTAAATTATATATTAAATATTTATAAAAAATAATATAGAATACCATAATTGTCTATTCATAAAGATCAAACCAAATACCAACATTCAAACCATATTAGTTTTGCTTTAGCTGATTGTTTTTTACGAATAAGTAACTCACTCATGTATTCATCTTGTCCTTAAGAATCGTTATTTGGGCCTGTGGGCCAAGCATGTATTCGTGTCCCTGTAGCCCATATAGTCCAATGTGGTCTGCCTATCTATCCATCCCGTACTCGCGGTGATGCCGCCGCCGCGAATGGACAAACAGACGCTGCCCTATCCGACACGAACCATCAACGCCGTGATCAACGAGGCTGCGAGGCTGCGCATCGGTGGTGACAGCGGAGGTCTAACCCAGTGAGGCGAGCACAGGCAGCAGGCGTGCTGCGGCCGAGCAGCGAAGGAAAACGGCCTTGCTAGTGCATATATTCGCTGTCTTTTTGGTCAGATTCGAGCAGAAGTAAGCAGGTACTATTTTCTGTTTGTTCAATTAATGGTTACCAATTGGTTAATTTAGCCGTGCGACCTGTTGTTGCTTCATTGCTCTGTACTTTTATTTTTCATTTGCTTCATTCATTAACTGTCTTATTACTCCATATTCTGCAAACTAATGAAAAACCTGTAGTTATATAGAAACAACCTATATTTCTAACTTCTTTTGTAGCAAAAAGCAACAAAAATAGTCCTGCTTTTAGCTTTGCTTTCATTTGCACTCTTTTACATGATAAGATTCACCACAATTTATATAAATTAGACGTACATGGCCAATGTGGTTTTACGGATGACGGTTATCTATCATTTTTACTGATGAAGAAGATGTCACTACTAAATCAAGTAAATCCAATCTGGTGCACAGGAGGCCGGAATGGGGGCCTTGCTGTGGCAGTCTAGCGGAGCAAAGGTGCAGCATGCTGGTGATGGATCTGGAGTGGTGTAGGCGTTCTAGTGCATTCAGGTGAAGAGGAAGGAACTCACGTGTCTGACAACGTGTTGCCCGTGTATTTTGTGTTTATAAGAATCGAAGAAGAAAAAGATAGACTAACACGTGGAACCATCTTAAATAGCTTCTGTATGTTACGTGTGTTTAATGAATTAGATTAGATACATGTATTAATAAGGTGCTGATGCATGGGCCCTATTTTAATTAAGCTAGCAAGTCGTAACTATGATTTATCATAATATTTTTCTCACTAATTGTGTGTCCTGTGGTAATATTTTTTCCATTAATAAATGTCATATTAGTGAGGTAAATATTTTTTGCAACAAATATCTTGTTAAATAGTGGCAAAAAAATGTTTCACCACTCGATTTGCCACTCAAGATGCTTTCTGTGGCAAATTAATATTTTGTCACTAATAACCAACATAAGAGTGATGAAAGCTAGTTTTTTTCACATATAGTATGGCAAGTAGTGGCAAATTTAAATTTTGCCACTAATTGTATGTCTTGCGGCGATAATTTATTTTGCCACTAATAAATGTCGTATCAGTGGGGTAAATATTCTTTTGCCACAGATATCATGTTAAACAGTGGCAAAATAATGTTTCGCTACTTGATTTGCCACTAAAGATGTTTTCTATGGCGAATTAATACTTTGTCACTAATAACCAACATAATAGTGATGAAAACTAGGTTTGCCACAAATAGTATGAGCATTAGTGGCAAAGATAAATTTCGCCACATCATTTTATCACTAATAATCCGTCTTCCTGTAGTGGTAGCAGTGGCAACAGATTATTTCACCAAGTGGGCTGAAGTGATCCCACTGAAGACAATGATATCCCAAAACATGATTGACTTTGTCCAAAAGCATATAATTTATTGGTTCGGGATTCGTCGGACTATCACTACCGATCAAGGAGTAATGTTCATATCTGAGGAGTTTGAGAATTTTGCTACTAATGCGGGATTCAAATTATTGAACTCTTCTCCTTACTACGCCCAGGCCAATGGACATGCAGAGGCGTCCAATCAGACGCTGATCAAGTTGATCAAGAAGAAGATAATCAATCGGCCAAGAAAATGACATTTGATGTTGAATTAATCACTATGGGCCTATCGGATGGCATGCCATCGGTCGACTAAGTGCTCTCCTTATGAGCTAGTTTATGGGTATATAGCCGTTCTTCCTTGGGAAATCAGGACTGGATCATGACGTATTGAGTTTCAAGAGAGCCTAGCAGCCAACGATTACAAGATTTTGATGATGGATGATCTTGAGGATTTGAATTGTTATTGGCTTCGTGCTTTGGAAAACATCGAGGCTCATAAGCTATGGATTGCCAAATATTATGACAAGAAAGTTAAGGCCAAGCAGTTCCACAAAGGTGAGTTAGTTTGGAAGCTGATCTTGCCAATTGGAACCAAAGACAGTGCATATGGCAAATGGTCACTTAATTGGGAGGAGCCTTATCGTATTACTCGATGCGTACCCGGCAATGCCTACTTCTATGAAATGCTAGAAGGTGAAGAATTCAACAAAGCACTCAATGGAAAACATTTTAAGAAATATTATCCTAGCGTTTGGGTTGATGTCTAAATTGGCCGATTGAATTTTCATCGAACTTTTATAGCCGATAAGGGAGGATATCGCCTTCAGAACAAAATAGGGCAACCACGATTCAGCCTAAGGAGAGATAGCTAATGCGGCACACATCGCCTTTAGAGCAAAAAAATAATAAAAATAGAATCCACCATACACAAGGAAACAGAAAGAGAAGATCGCTTCGAACATAAGGGGTTTATTCATTAGTTTCCCGTTAGAATCTAAGGGCCGAGAAACACTTTGTTCACAATGTCTCTGGCCGAAGAAGAGAAAGCTATGGTGTTAGCGGCGTTGGAGAAGTCCTCATTCAAACTCTCATGATCTTCAGGACGATCGGTCGCTAGAAAACCATGGGGAAGAAGTCAAAGCTCGAATTCAGAGCGAACTTGCGCCACGGCCAAAGCAACAATAGCACCATGGCGAACACCATGAAGAGCAATCTCCCTAGCACGATTTGGGATATTGTTGGTATATTTAACGCACACAGATAAATCCACAAGCACACGAATACCGCTGTAGCTTTCACCCGGAAGTATTCAAAGTATCGTATCCACAGGGAAACGTGTGAGACTAACTACGATCTAACTTAACTAGGGCTAGCAACAAGGTTGAGATAAATATGAGCGTAGAGAGGAAAACTAAGGTTCTCTAGTTCTGACTTGGGTAAGTTATGTCTTCTACTATTCAACTAGGACATTACTAGGGAAAGACACCAGTAGAAGATGCTTTCCTTTGTAACCGTGTCCTACTTGCGCCTATAGACGGGAGGTGGACTACAAAGGATCAA